ATTGGCTATGTAATGTGTATGAACAGGATGACTCTGCCTAAAGTCTCTCGAATCCTTGTAGTCCAATCATTAACAATTCACGGGAGGACTGTCCTGAGAAATGATCTTGTGTGGTGGGTTTGGGTTTGATGTGTCAATGTTGCAAGGGCAACGTAATGTACGCTGTCGAACTACAGGCTAACTCGGGAGGTAGGGTAACTGGGTAAGTGGTTAGTCTCTCCGTCATTCCCCCAAAGATGGTTAGATTGAAATTACAGAACTACTACAGCGATGTGACGAGTTTATTACTAGTACAAAGTACTAAGAAGTGGTACTCCATCTCACTAGTTAGTACTGTACCTTAGAAATGGAACTCTGATCCCACCGCCATCGTCATTGACTTCTGAGGAAGACCACTTCTTTAGTACTAGCTCGTGAGTGGTCGAGGGCTGCAAGCGGTGTCAGTCGGGAATCCACCATTCTTTAGCGATTGCACCGGTTGAACGCCGGACTCCTAGTTTAGCTGTCTTTAGTAGATAGACTAGCTATCCACGAACCCATGGGATTCTTTGGGACAACCATACGTAATGAAGCTGAGACCGACTCGAATTTTGCCATTGAAGACGGAGTACCAGCGGCGCTGGGATGACAAGGGAGTATGACTAATTCGCCCACTTGGTTTCAGATTTGTCTGGCAATATGTCTCCGTGTAATACGATGTAATACGTACCAGCAAAGACACTGGTTACCCATGGATGCACTTGTAGGTACCCTACCAACAATTACCTGCCCCGTAAGGCAGTGAAGGTAGTAAGTCGCCTCCGGTAAGGTAGGTTATTATTACTAGAATGCTGGAAGTCCTTCCTTCCATGACTCGATTCCGCCAGTTTGCCCAGTCTTTCCCCCCTCCTCTTTCCGCTCTTTTCCCTGGTGCTATCGACTTATCGTGTTGTCTTGTTCTTCTGTTTATCGTCTCCTCTGCCCAAAATTAATCTTCATATTCTTCATACTGCTTCCTCATCATTCGAACCATTTCGCTGAGTCTCCATCGGCAGTATTACTAACTTATTGTTACGTGCCGCCACTGTTCCCGAATCCGTTACGGTTCCGCAGAGAAATCCAAAGCGGGACAGCATCCGAGGGTGGACACTCACTCCTTGTGTGATCCCGCCCAAAGCCGCTTTCGAGGACTCACTCCTTCATGCTTGGGTCGTCAGAGACGCTCAGTCCTCCTCTTCATTACTCTCCTTCCGTTGGGGATCACGATCGCACATCCTCTCGGGACTCGACCCCTGTTACCACTCCACTCGGATTTGGCGTACCGTCGCGCAGGGAAAAGGTCTCTGATCGTTCGTGGCCTCGAAACTCATTTGGTCTCCTCGACGACCAGTCATCATATTTCGATCCGACGAAGTTATACTCGCAACCTCAAGAAGACTACGATTTCCCTCTTTTCCCCTCGCCCCCTTTGACCTCGGGCACGATGAACAATACAGCAGCTCCAATTGACATCGCCACTCGCCAGACCTCAGTCTCCCCTCCGGGGCAACAGGCGTCGAATTTGACCTCTGCTCTCCAGAGAGCTGGAAATGGCGAGCGGACCGGTAGCATATCTCACGCGGGCGGCGTTGGAATCAATATATTCAAAGCCCCACCACCTCGTAAAGACTCCATCGGTGCAGCGACCGCACAATGGGGTAATGGCTCGAAACCTATTTCCATGTCTGGTTCCAACCGCGATAAACAGCGCCGTGAGTCATTGGCCGGGAGCTTGGTTGGCGGTATGAGCTGGGGTGGCGTTTCTGTTGGCAGTTGGATACGTGATGAGTAAGTTTTCATGGGTGTGCGGTCGATATCCCACATGGATTTATTATCGGCATCCCACAAATGCGCCTGACATGAGTTTGAATGGTGAGAAGCTAATTTCAAGTGTTCTAGTATCTTAATGACTGGCACATCCCCCTTTACTTTCCAGTCACCTTCGTTTCATTCGTCATCTTATCTCCCAAAGCTGGAAGCCAACTTCATGCGAGACTTTTCGTGCTGTGGTGTGACATTACCTACTCTTCACGATCTCCTACAGCACTATGAAGAAGCCCACGCCACCAAGTCGCCCCACCAGGGGCATCGCCCAAGCCAAGCTGACGGCCGGGCTGCTTTAGCTGCTGCTGCGATGGCGCACCAACAGAATCAGCAGAACAACAATCAGAATCGTGGATTACAGCCCGAGAGCACTCAGCGGAAATTAAATCAGAGCCAGCCGCCCCAGCAGCACTCCGATATCGATGCAATCGATGACATGGAGTTGGACGAGCCGATGGGTGATCATGATACATCGTCGCAGCTGTTTTCGCCTCAGCCACAAAATGGCAACCAGGGAGGATTCGGCCATTCCAATCAAAGGGTGCCACATTTGAATCTGTCGATGCTTCCAGGACATCAGGGTTTCAAGGGTTCTCAACCCGGCACCCCTGTTGCTTCCGGTCGCCCCTTGTCGTTGCAGAATAACCCCACTGTTTCCTCGGTGAACACGCCGACTTTGATGTCGAATCCACTTCAGAACTCTCAATTCCGGTCAACGCCCGATTCATCCACACCGGGAACCCCAGCCGAACTTGACGAGAGTGTGCTTGGCGGCTTCGGTGATATGGGGATGCAGACCAACAACATGATGCAAGGCCAAGAGCAATTCGCTCGCTTTGCTGCCAACAACGATATGGTGGATCTCTGTATTGACGAGCCAGCGAAACGTTTATTCAGCCCAACCGGGGGAATCAACACACCCAATGCTCATTTCAAGCTTAGTGGGGCACAGTACGGTCCAAATAGTGAAATCGCCCGCAGAATCAGAGAGCAGCAACTGCTGGCTGGTGTTCCCGATACCACCGCGTTGCTTCCAAATGAAGAACCAAAGCCTTTCCGTTGCCCTGTTATTGGTTGCGAGAAGGCGTACAAAAACCAGAATGGTTTGAAATATCACAAAGCTGTAAGTTTCTCGTTACAGGATAAGACTCCATGGACTATAACTAACAAAACATCGCAGCACGGCCATAACAACCAACAACTACATGATAATGCCGATGGTACTTTTTCCATCGTTAACCCAGAAACCTCGACGCCGTATCCTGGAACACTCGGCATGGAGAAAGAAAAACCGTACCGTTGCGAGGTGTGTGGCAAACGTTACAAGAACTTGAATGGTCTCAAATATCACAAATCGCATTCTCCGCCATGCAACCCTGACTTCCAACTTGCCGCTGGCCGCAACCTGGCTTTCGGCGGAGGAGTCATGCAGGGACAAAATATTAATGTTGCCGGGGCTGGTCTACCTGGTATTGGCGAAGAGGGTCTTCTATAGAAGGTCTCATGGGTTTACAAAGCTTGAAAGATATTGCTTTGCCCTTATCTTCAATTTCACATAATTCAATTCGACGATTTGACAGCTTCGTCGCGTGACATACGACTTTATGACCGGTTCGGTGGTTTGGAGTTACGTTTGGTATGAACGTCCTGTCGATCGCGGTTCTTTGGGGCCGCCGCGATTGATCTGATAATGAACAGTCAGTCCTTTTGGTGCCCTCGAAAGACTTCCGTTGCGATACACTTATGAGTTCCCGGAACACTTGTCGGTATATGATTTTCGGCTTCTGTCGTTTTCGTGTCTTTTTTGCATGTTTGGGCTTTGGCAAGCAGAATCCGGTGTCTCAATTACTTCTCATCCTCTTATCCCTGTGATTGTCATTATTAATGGACTTTGTCGATCCTTGGCTTTGTGATACTCAGACGAGGTTGCATTTTTTTAATCTCCGAAGAAAGCAAATACGGGGATCAAACAAAGTTGGAACTCACAGTCGGGCTTGATGTGTCCTTCGTTATTCTTCCTCAGACATCTGGACACCATTTCCCGAGCACTGTGGAAAAGAAAAGAAAATGGCATACCGGCGTCGATCCTGTAGATAATGGTTCCAGGCCAGATCTTGCTTTCTTGTTTTTATCTATGCTGGTGGTGTTTATGGAGAATCTGGGGCTATAATTTTTTCTTGATATGCGTTGATCCCTCTTGGCTTGTTCTTTCTTGATAGAGTCTTCTTGATTTGCTTGATTCCCATGGCTTCGTTTTGTTCTGCGAAAAGGAAAAAAGTTTGGAAAATATTGCTTGGTTGCTCCGTCACACTTGTTAAATGATAAACTATACTCCCTTCACCATTTTACGTTCGAAAAACAGCATTAATACGTATACATGTTGCTCGTATCGTGAACGACAACCCGATGGCTTGTTTGACACTATAGAGCTCACCGTAGTACACGAATAGCTAGTCCCTGTACTTGAATCCAAGGCAAAGGGCCAGCAACTTTCCAGGTGAGATTGGGCTCAATTCCTGGCTGTTTTGATGGCCAGCATCCCCCTACTGGGTCTTGGCTGGGGTGGCTTGCAGAAAACATAGGTCTTTATTTGAGTACGAATATGATACCGTCACGAAATTAACTATGTATTCACATATCGAGGTGTATGTACCGAGACCTGGATTTTACGCTTCAGGAGGATCGACATCGTTGCCTACTTGTTCCATGCAAGGTTTAATAGCGAGGTAAGGACATGTATTCTGTAGCTCAGCTGACCTGGTCACGATGTAGAGACAACAAAGCAAAAATCCCATTTGAAAGTAGAATTATTCTAGTACACCAAAGAAAAGAAATAGCCATCCCCTGCATAAAAGCGCCATGTGCATCCAAACTAAGGGTAACATGAAGAAGATTAAAGTCTCGTGCCGCAAACATCCTGATGTACTTCATGAAACAAAAATCATTGAGAGTTATTTCCGCTTGCACCGACTACCCTTGGGAGTCATCGTGTGTCCGTACTGTGATTTGCCTTGGTTGAAAATGGTAGACAAATAGGAGAAGGTTTTTACAGATTGGGAAGATGAATGAACATGGCTAAGACAAATGAAAAGGCAAAAAAAAGGGGTGAAACGGACTTCAAGGTCGTGTGGCTATAGGGGGACTGAAACACTGCGTCCCTACCACTCGAACTCGCCCTGACCTTTGTGGAAGACATATCTATTGAAGTCAGCAATCTTGTCACAGTACTTTGGGTGCTTCTATGGAACCTACTCTTTACCACCAGTCGTCAGAATACCGTCCTTCAAAGTACACTTCCACTTGTTCTTCACCCTTTGAACCTTATCATACGTGCAGAGCATCACTTGGCCGACGGCATCTTCTGCTTCATGGTCATCAGCAACGAGGTCGTCCGGATCATCAAGGTCAGAGTTGATGGCATCTTCATCGTCTTCATCCCTCTCATCATCGCCTCCTGGGCCGTCATATTGAGCTCGGACTACTTTAGAAGAAGACGATGCCGAGGTACTTGGGTCGGAAGGGATCGCGGCGTCTGTCGCAAGTTCACAGGTAGGTGCTCTTGACGAGTCCTGGCGCTCCTCCAATGGCAGCAGAAGGCCTCCTCCCTCGAGCTGAAGCATGCGCTGTTTCAGATGTTCACGGAGAATCCTGTCGCCTTCCCCGTTCTGACGTTCAGCAGCCTCACGCCTTCGTGCGACCTCTACTTTCCATGCTGACAGTGCATCGTCGCTGGCACCGTCTGTCTGTGTGTTATTCATGGGGGGTTGAGAAACAGGAGGGTAACCTGGTTCCTGCTTGATATGTGGCGCCTGTCCATTGGGTACATGCGGTAAATTCTGAGGACGGGCCTGCCCTGGCATTGCCATGGCAGCCTGCGACTGGGCTTGCAATTGACTGACCGAGTTGGCAGCGGCCGCGCCGTATCTCTGGTGTAGCATGTTGGCAGCACGTTCTCGCGCTGACTGAGCATTTGGAGTATTCGTAGGCATCATGTTACTCATAGGGGGCAAGCTGGTTTGGCCGTTCATGCCAGGCTCCGTCTTAATGTGTGGTGCTTGGCCCATGGCATTTGGTGCTGCCCCGACCGGTGTGGGGACTTGTAACGGAGGCGCGGTGCCAGGCATCGGCTGCGGCATCGACTGCGGAGGGGGAACATGTTGTTGAGGGGCTTGAGGAGAAGGAGCGGGTCGAGGAGCATTAGAGGGTACGGTCGCACTGGGAGGGAGGATTTGATTCTGGTTCTGAGGCTGAGGAGGGGCTGGTTGTGGTGGTGGGGGATCCCAAGGGAAATGAGCGACACCCAGGGACGACAGTTTTTTCTGCCAGCTCTGTGCAGGTAGAATTTAGTTAGATTGTGGAACAGCGCAGAGAAAGGTTATGAGATGAGGAGAGTAAGAATCCAAGTAGAAATAAATCAATGTGATATGTGGCCAAGGTTGACAAAGGGTAAGCCCGAACTATAGATCATCAAATGAATGAGAGGGACGATGAGGAGGCTTGGCAGCCTTAGGCTCCCGCGGGTAAAAGGGGAGGAGTATAAAGGGACCTCAAAAGGCTGGCGCTCCCCCAGAGGCTTTGCCGCCTCCCGCAACTTTCGGACCCCGCGTTTGGCCGAGGGCCATCAACGCCAACATCAGCTCCCCCTTCGTTGGCATTTTTACCAGGAAACCCATCAAAGAAACATCTCCAATATCAAATTTCTGTCGAACTCACCTTCCGCAAATCTAGCAATGTCTGCTGGTCCACTCCACTTTCCTCAAAATCCACCTGAGAACCATCGCAGACTTCTTGGATGACACGATCGAACACCGTGCCCTATGAATCATCTGGTATAAGCCAATATTCTTTACAGAGACAGACCCTCACTGGAGATAGCTAGCCAACGAAAAGAGAAAATATCTGCTAATCCTTCCTAGGTCTCGCAGCTCAGGCAAGGTAGGGAGGGCTCTGTCAGATAGCACTCACCACCTGCTGGTTGGACATGGTCGCTGGGACAGAACTTCGTAGACAAGCCTTTGTCAAATCAGGTAAATCACCACGGTCTATTCGTTGTCGACAAAAGGCAAATGTGCGAGCCTATCACGTCCAGCGGGTAAGGTGGATGTGTTGTCGTTGGCTTATCCCAGGGCAGGTGTTCCGTCGCAGCGGTCGGTTGCCACGGACTAATGCGACGGTAACCTCCAACAATCAAGTTCGGACCTGTTTCGGTGGCTCAGGACTTGACCGGCAATCGTATGCGACCGGGCTATGTGATACGTGAGATCTATCGTCAAACTGCCCAGGAAAACGAAGGTTGTTGGCAAGGAGCGCAGGGACAGGCGTGCCTGAGAGGGAATTGAATGAGGTGAAAGTCGTAGTCTTCGGGCGAAATCCGTCCTTGTCCTGCTTAGTCACCACCCGCACCCTCACTAAGTTAGCGCCATCGGCCCCCTTCGAGCTTATCTTAAATAGTCACGATTTTGACATTAATTGTAGGGAGTAGTGAAGTAGACTGTCCCCGATCAATTGACCGTCTTACAATCAAGCTATCTATCGTCCAATGTCCAGCGGTATTAAGATAGTTTGTCATCAATTCTAATAATGTGCTATACAAGAATCTTAACCCAAATATACCGTCTCGCCTAAATACAGTGCTCCAGCTAAGTAACGCCAACCAAGTGTGATCCAATTCCCAGTGATATACCCAGAATCCACGCAGCACCCAATGAAAACCGAAACAAATGTACAAGAAAACAACGCAGCGAAATTAGCGGATAGTCATGGATTTAGTCATTTGAGCCTTGCTTCCCACTCCACCCTCACGAGAAGCCGATGCACTACTTCCTGGCTTGCGTTCAAAGACCTTCCAGAATTTCAAGCTCTCATCCGCTGCCGCGGTGGCCAGAAGCTGACCGTCGGGACTCAGACAGCTGTGCAGAACACGAGTCTCGTGCGCCGGGATCTCAATGTTGCGGACCAGAGTGGGGTAACTCCAGATGCTCAGAGAGTTATCGGGAAAACCACTGGAGCTAACAATCTCCCGGTAGTGATTGCTCCATCGCAGGCTGGTGACCTGGGAACCGGTATCGATGCTGTTGGTACGCGCACCCGTCGTGGTGTTCCAGAAATGAATATGGCGATCGTATGATCCACCACCAGTGGCAAGCAAGTTCAGTTGCCAGGGACACCAGCTGAGAGCTTTAACGGCAGCACGGTGGTTGGTCTTGGTGAACTTGGGTGCACTGAGAGACCGAGCATCCCAGATGTTCACCAAGTTGTCATTGCCGCCGGTAGCCAGCTGAGCACCATCGGGCCTCCACTCGAGGCCACAGACTTCGGAGGTGTGAGATACAAGCTCGGCTACCTTGTGCTGAGCAATGCGGACATCGTGGTTGAACACAAGACCACTACGAGCACCGGTAGACAAGGTGTGCTTAGACCAGCCCATGACACCAACACGAGAGTCATGGCCAAACATACTTCGCAGCTTAGTACCCTCTTCGACATCCCAGATCTGAACCTCGCCGGTGCCCAAGCCCACACCAACATAGGCTCCATCGCCGCTCCACTTGACACTGCTAATATACGTATCTGGAGACGTCTCCAGTAGGCAGCTAACGGTCCCTGTATCTGCCGACCACACGTAAACATTACGCTCAAGGCCGATGGCAACTTGATTGCCAGAACTCCAATCCAGGAGGTTAAGATAGTAGTCATCCAGAAGTCCAGGTGCATCCAAAACACGCTCGGGGGCAGTTTGAACCCTTCTGCGGAACTGTGCCGACTTAGACTTAGCAGGCCTAAGAGGACGATTGTACTGGGCACGCAAATCAATGGGTTTGGACGATTCCGGAGGCGGGGGCTTGAACGCAAGAATTCGAGTGTTCAGATTTACACCGCAAGCATCAGCCAATGACGATTCGTAGGCTACAGCATCTGGTGCGGGTCTGGTATACGAAGAAGAAGATGACGTTGAGGAAGTCTCGCTATCCTCGAGGCCGAGGTTCTCAAGAGCTGCGGTGATATCGTCTTCCGTTCCTCGACCACCAATGTCAAAGGCGCTCGCGGCACTCGCAAGAACGGTAGAGCCCTCATTGCCACTAGTCTTGGATCGTTGGCTCTCCTCGGGCTTTGCAGTTCCAGCAGTTGCCAGTCCCTCACTGGCGGTCCGGTTGGGAATGAATCTGTCACCAGCATTGTGTGCAATGCGAACGGTGGTCTTCCCAGATCTTGTCGTACGTGTCGGGACCTCTTTCCGTACTCGCTCCTTGGACGTTGGAGATTGTGATGACGAGGGACCAGTACCTGCCAAAGCCCACTCCGAGACACCCATTTCTAGGTGCTTAGGTGACTTACGAATCCGGGCAATGTTAGACTTTGGGGATTCGCGGTAGTTCCGGGTTGCCCTAGACATAGACTTGGCAAAGTAAGAGGACAAATTACCCCCGTAGACAGACTTTCCATGGTCCTTGGCGCCTTCCTGCTGACGAGGAGGAGTGAATGGTGAAGAGTGGTTCGATGTCATGCTTCCCGCTCGCATACGGGGAGAAGGTGTGAGGGGCATGCGACCTCCAGCGGTCTTTGAAGAGAAGATTCCATGGTGGGTTTTGACCGGAGTCGACACTGTGGGAGTAGCCATACTCGAATAGGATTATTCCACCGGGGCACAGTGGAGGTAATGCTGAAGAAGTAAGGTCAAGGCAATACGGTCATCCAATGACCTTCAGCCGGGATTATGGCTTAAGATGTACAGTAAAGTACTGAAAAAACAGCAAGTATAAGCAATATACTATGCAAGAACTATGAGATAGCAAGGAAACTGAAGAAGATGGGAGGAGAAGAAGGAATCTGGATTGGAAGACTTGAGGGATAGGGGAATAAATAGAGGGTATAGTTCTTTTCTCCCATGGCAACGGTTACCTGAGGTACGGGTGCGCTAAGCCTATCTCGGCTAGTCCCGTCTGCCATGCGGCTCTCGTGACGATCGTCTTGGCAGTTTTCACTTTTTTCCAGCTTTTTCTTTTTTGGATTTTTTAGTTGCAGTCTCTCATCCCCGATGTCAAAGCCTCTTTGTACGCCTTGGCATTATCTCGTATAACATGTAAAGAAAAGTCTCATTATTTGCATTCAAACACCACCAAGAACTCCATTACACGCTCTTTCCCACGTCTGTGGAGCGGTGCCACAACTCTCTCCTTTCTGGGTGGCTCTGATGGCGCGGCAACCGCTCTCCACTACTACTCGGAATAGTAACGCTTCCTTTGCATCCGCGGCGTTCACGCAGTCCCACGGAGACCCACAATCCTGGACCGGGGCGCCGAGAGTCTCATTTCCGATGACTTCCCTGTCCTCTGATCATCAGACACCGCACCACACATTCCTCATGCCCCCTAGTGTAGCCGGCGGTCGCCGCGGTAGCACGGACTATCGCCCGAGCATAAAAAAGGCCCAGGGTCATATCCCAGCATGTCTGGTCAATGCGTCTGTGACGTATTGCAACAACGATCAGATTTACGCCTTTGGCGGGTTCGATCAGTATACCGATGAAGGTTCATAAGCGACCCTATTATCTGGCATGTACAAATTTTGCATCTTGTGCTAATGATGGGAATGTAACAGTTTACAACCACGTTCTGAGGTTGAACCTGAAAGATCTCCGCTGGGAACTTGTAGACAACTATGGCGATATTCCAGGAGTTCGCATGGGTATTTAAACCCGACCACATCGGCGTTCAACTATTTCTGGAGATCTGAACTAACCGAACCGTGCTAAATGACTAGGGCATACTGCCACTCTCTATCAAGGGACCAAACTGATTGTCTTCGGTGGAGAGAATGAGCATCGCGAATATCTTTCCGATGTGGTCATCCTCGATATCACCACCTCTACTTGGACTCAACCTGAAATCCGTGGACCAATACCGCGAGGAAGGGCTCGCCACGCGGCCGTCATTTACGATGACAAACTTTTTGTCTTAGGAGGTGTAACTGGAGATAACAAAATCCTTGATGACTTGTCTTACCTGGACCTGAAAACATGGACATGGTCTCGGACCTGGAGATTTACAGCCCGCTTCGACCATACTGCCTGGGTTTGGGGCGGTCGCCTGTGGACTTTTGGAGGCCTTGACCCGGGTATGGAACGTACGACGGATATCTGGTGGCTTGATCTCAAAGACATCCAATCTCTTGGAATGACAACATCGCAAGGTACCGTAGACACCCCCGCGACAATCGGCAGGAGTACTCATAGCCCAGAAACAATGTTCAATAGTCCAGCACAACAGCTCTCAGGACGGTCGGGTAGCTACGCAGCAAACTCGGGGAGTGTGCAAGTTCGCAATTCGAATCGACGGAAACCGATCGCTCCGGGTGCCATCTCGTGCCTTCAGTTCAAGTCTGGCCCTCACGTACCTGCGCTATTCTCTGGGACCCACTTCCAAGCCTATGCGTCTGGTGTTCTGCTCGACTTGATAACTCCGTCGGAGACAGTGCGTATTTTTGACTGTAATCTGTCGTCATTGGAGCTCGACTCGCTACGCTGGCAAAGATTGGCCGATGGACAGGAAATATTTAAATCGGGTTATAGATGGCATTACTGCACAGTCGATGCGAGTGGCACTAAGGCGTGGCTGTTAGGCAGTAGTTCGGATACCGGCGCCACTCCTGGAACCGCTGATGAGAACCACATGAGCGAAGTTCTCTGTATTGATCTGGAAAGGTACGGTTTACTTGGCAATGATATGACGGCCACCTCGCCAGACCAAGGCAGGGCACTGCTCTCGGGACGCTCGGGGACATCTCCCTTATCTGGACTTGGTGCGGACCTGTCGGCTGTCTTTGATCAAGCGCCTGAGTCCGGTAGTGGTGCCGACTTTACTATCACAGCCAACCCAGACGATCAGGTAGACGGTGACGAGCTTGCAGAAGACGCTTCTTCCCAAGCCCAGTCAGCATTTATACCTCCTAACGCGGCCACCTCCCCACCCATCCATGTGCATCGGATTATTTTACAGCTAAGATGGCCCCATTTCAAACGGCTGTATTCTGCTCAGATGGTCGAATATCATTCGAAGAGGATGCATATTCCCGAGCCTTACTCTGTCGTTCGTGCATTCATCTATTACCTGTACACTGATAGCATCTCAGGTCACCCAGAATACTGTTCTGACATTGTCGATGTGGCTGGTATGCTCGTGATGGCCAATCTGTACGACATGCCTAAGCTACGAGTGTTATGTGTTAACCGGTTGAGCCGCGAACTGGACGTAGAGAATGCAGCCATCATCTGGGAGCGAGCCGGCCGAACGAATGAAGAATGGCTGATGCGCCGTGCAGCCCAGTTTTGTCTCAGCAACTGGGGCCGAGTAGTACGCACCGACGGCTTCAAGTCTCTGAGTCGGCAGAGTTTGATTGAACTATGTGAGGTGGTTGACATGGAAGGCCGCGTTGTTGCAGGGCCTGAGCTGGAGATAGTTGGAGCGCTTTCCGCGGATGGGTTTGGCTCCGGCAGAGATCCTAAGCGGTCCCAGCTGGCTCTCGGTGGCACCATGGCAGACGATGTCGATGACCTCGATGGCGACGAAATGGAAGGGATGGAAATGTCGTGATACAATCGGTCCACCGCTGCTTTGAGCTCCATGTCGGTGCTTGCGAAATAGCGGTTCCGAGGATTTTCCCTCGACGAACCTCCATGACATGATATAGGTAATGAGGTATGGATTACGATCAGCGAGGAGTTTCGAGACAGGGTTGCCCTTGCATTTGGTGTCTAGTATTATTGCATGATTTAACCAAGGTGCTTTTGTTTGTTTTTAGTAGATGCAAATGAGAGGAGTTACTATTGTAGGTTCGACTATACCTATTCCAGGTCTTCGGGATACGGTCCGTGGAGCCGCCTCTGTTTTTAGCCCAGAAACAAGATGATATTTATCCGGAACTTATGTACTTAACTATTTTCAACATCCCCGCTTTCCCCTCCTAGTCTGGCTGGCCAACATATTTAAACATCCGTCAGTCTCTACAAATGTTCGTTGGAACACTTTAAGGAGCGAGATCCTGGGTACCCAACCACCTAATACAAGCATCAAGCAACTATCAATATGGGCTCCGCTTCAACGTCGACGCTTCCCCCCGACTTCCTATGGGGATTCGCAACAGCGAGGTGACTTGATTCTGTCCCCCTGCAGTCATGGAGAGGTGATTTGACGTTGACTAATACTTGCTGTTTAATTTTGGATAGTTACCAGATTGAAGGAGCCGTAGATGAGGACGGACGAGGTCCATCCATCTGGGATACATTCTGCAAGATCCCTGGCAAAATCGCCGGAGGAGCCAACGGCGATGTGGCTTGCGACTCGTACCATCGCACACACGAGGATATCGCCTTGCTCAAGGCTTGCGGTGCCAAGGCATACCGCTTCTCACTCTCTTGGTAAAAGTGTTCCAATCTCTATGTATGCTCCTCATCCGCTTATGGTTTTATCTTAGGTCCCGCATTATTCCACTCGGTGGCCGAAACGACCCCATCAATGAGAAAGGCTTGCAATATTATGTAACACTCGTCGACGACCTGCATGCTGCTGGTATCACTCCTCTCGTTACTTTATTTCACTGGGATCTTCCCGATGAGCTCGACAAACGCTACGGCGGTCTCCTCAACAAGGAAGAGTTCGTCGCAGACTTTGCCCACTACGCTCGCATAGTTTTCAAGACGTTCGGCTCGAAAGTTAAGCATTGGATCACGTTCAACGAGCCATGGTGTAGCAGTGTCCTTGGATATAACGTTGGTCAGTTTGCTCCAGGAAGAACAAGTAACCGGGCCAAGAGCCCCGTTGGTGATAGTTCGCGGGAGTGTTGGATCGTGGGCCACAGTCTTCTTGTAGCCCATGGGGCAGCAGTGAAGATCTACCGAGATGAGTTCAAGGCCAGCGATGGCGGGGAGATTGGCATCACGCTTAACGGTCAGTGATTATTCATCCATGCACCTGTACCAAGACACCTGACTGTTCTTCTAGGCGATTGGGCCGAACCTTGGGACCCCGAGAACCCGGCAGACGTTGAAGCTTGTGATAGGAAGATCGAGTTCGCAATTTCCTGGTTCGCAGACCCCATCTATCACGGGAAGTATCCGGACAGCATGGTGAAACAGTTGGGTGACCGACTGCCGAAGTGGACACCAGAGGACATTGCGCTCGTCCACGGTAGTAACGATTTCTATGGCATGAACCATTACTGCGCCAACTTCATCAGAGCCAAGACCGGCGAAGCAGATCCCAATGACACCGCAGGCAACCTGGAGATCCTGTTGCAAAATAAGAAGGGTGAATGGGTCGGGCCCGAGACGCAGTCTCCCTGGCTGCGACCCTCCGCGATTGGGTTCCGGAAGCTGTTGAAATGGCTCAGTGAGCGATACAATCACCCCAAGATCTACGTGACAGAGAACGGCACCAGTCTGAAGGGGGAAAATGACTTGCCACTGGAACAGCTACTCCAGGACGACTTCCGGACGCAGTATTTCCGGGATTACATTGGCGCTATGGCGGATGCCTACACCCTAGACGGAGTCAATGTCAGGGCCTACATGGCATGGAGTTTGATGGAGTAAGTCCTTTCACTTGAGCAAGCCAGCGCAATAGATGTCTCTCAAGTCTAGCTAATAGATAACAATGATTGCAGTAACTTCGAATGGGCCGAGGGCTATGAGACACGATTCGGAGTGACTTACGTCGACTACGAGAACAACCAGAAGAGAATCCCCAAACAAAGCGCCAGAGCAATTGGGGAAATCTTCGACGAACACATTGAGAAAGCTTAGTATGTAGGTTCATGGTTGAAACTATATAGAAATGCACATGATGTCACTGCTCCCCTATAGACACCTGCAATCCATGTACCCTCCTACTTCAGATGATATATAGAAATACAAGTAGTAATACACACCTAGAGAAGTTTAATCGAAACCTCACCCACAAAAACCCTTAGACCTTAGCCCCACATCCCCGCAACAGAATATATTAAGCCAAGAAGACATTGCTTCACACTCCGTGTCAAATACAGTTAGTTGACGCTCCCCGCCCAATCCCCGCTGCCCATGATTAAATCTATCCCCCCACACGCCAATCCTCTTCCATTAAACCCCAGACTTCTACCATAGCAACAGGCTATATCCCCAGGAAAGAGAATAGAATACCCGAGCGTAGACTATCCCGATCGAATTATCCAAGCAAAGCCCTGTCTAATTAAGCATTATCATTTCTGCTCAGTGGCCACTGCGCCAAACTGGGCAGTGAGAAACTGGGGCCGATGGTCCGAAGTTCTAATTTCTATTGCTATTACAGTATAGTTGAGGTTCGGTCCTTCTTCTAGAACAGAATACTATTCATGTATGTATGAGGTTTGGCTGTATTGCGCGAAGACAGTTTGAATGGGCGAGTTGTTCGCATGTTGCTTTTCTATGTGGTGGTGGTGGTTCACTATGATTGTGAGATTTAGGATAGATATGGTTTTTGTTTTATATTGTTATACGGTAGGATGCACAATGGGTGATTGATTCACAAGGACATAAGATGATATCTTGGTGTGCTGCAGTTTACCTAGCATCAACGGGAATGAAGATTGATTTTGAGAATGGTCGAGAAACTCATCACGGCATTATAACCCACTATATACCCTGCTATTCAATATCCACAATCAGAGCGCATATCTAAAGTGCTTAGACTCCATGTCTGTCATATCCTTAAAGCCATCGAGAACAGCAGCCTCCTCACGACGTTCTGCGGTTTCGTCTGGTGACGTACTGCGATCTCTCCGCATATTTTCCCACTTCATGGCCATATACCCGACAGCACATAGAACGATTATCCCCGCGTAGCACACAAGAAGACCTGTCAATGCCGAGTAATACCGTGGAGCTTCGCGAGAAAAGAAGATGTTGGCCCCCGCAACGTTTCCGCTGGCATATACCGTGAACCAGAGCCCGTTGGCGAAGGAGCGTTTCGTATGACCAGCCACATTAGTAGAAAGGAGATTCCAGGATATGATGACGGGAGCACCAATGATGTATTGAAGCCATGTGCAGCCTACCAACGTCCAGCGATGATTAAGGTCCGTGAAACGAATGCCGAGTAGGCCACCGAATGGAATCAAGCACACGACAGCCAACACTATACAGCGCGAGTCCCGCACGTATGTCGATACTAAGCCGCAAATAGGCACTATCACGGCTTCGATAGCTCCAGTTGGCAGCTGCAGGAGCGTTGCATAAATACCACTGAAGCCATATCCTTTAATCAAAGACGATGAGAAGTTGGATACACCACCATTGATAACGCCGCAGGCGATGCCAATGCCGACACAGCAGAGCACTTTGACATCGTAAAAGATCTCCAAAGCTTGGCGCAGCTTGATTTCCTTGGTCTTGACGCCGATCATATTCTCCGAAACTCTGTGAACTGCCACAACGCGCTGTCTGTGGGACAGGAATTTCGCTGTACTCGGCGAGTCGGGCATGATCCAGAGGAAGAAGCATCCAGTAACAAAATTGAGTAAGCCAATCGTTAAGAAGATTAGCTGCCAGCTCCGCAGGCTAGTATTGTGGGAATGGCCTAGACCAAATCCCAAGAGAGCGCCGACCATCGTTGCCATTCCATTCCCAGATAACCATATAGCCATCCGGAGAGGCTGCTCGGCGCGTTTGTAGAACATCGAGGTGAAGTTCATCACTACTTCTCATTAGACACTTGCATCTTTGACAATTCCTAGTCGGTATATCCTTACTGCACGGGCTGACACAAGCCTCCGCCATACCCAGCAGAAATCTGAGAACCAATATCCCCGCGTAGTTTTTAGCTCCAATATGTGCGATAACAAGACCGGCCCATATAATTATAACCGTTCCCATATACTTCGCCAGTGGCAAACGTTGGATCATCAGATTGGATGGCTAAATCAGGTTCGTTAGCCTTTGACCCTAAAAGCCCATCACTCATCGCACGCACAATAGCCCAAAAAAGATATCCGAAGTTGAATATTGCTGCCACCCACGAGTATCTTTGGCCCTCCAGACCGAGGTCTGGGATGAATGAATAAGCGGAGGCATAATTTAGTGACAATTTGTCTACTCGGTACAACTTGGTTAGCTTGGCACCAGCAAATTAAGATATGACAATATACTCACCTAAATATTGGATAACATATGTCACATATAACTAGATGGGAAGCTCGTCAGTAAATTGAGAAGGCATCAAGTGATATCTTAGGTGAACAAGTTTACCATGGGTAAAATTCGCCAGTCTAGGAGCTTGCGCACTTCGGCGCCTTCGCGTTCGAGCTCTTCAGGCGATAGTTGGCCGACTTCAGCATAGAGGTCTGCGCCGATGTCGCGGATCTCACCCGGCATAACGTCGCCATGTTTCTCAACACTGGCGGAGCTCCGCACGTCAGCTTTCGTGTCATTGGTGGTGTCAATCATCGGGGCAAGGATGAGTAAAGCAGTCGATGTCGAGGAATAGCACACTGATGTCGTCGTCGAGTTTTTCTTCCATACCTGGGGGGTTTCTTCGGGCTGATTTATATCTAAAAATCAATTGGGCCCAGAGAACTGCAGCTGATAAAGAACACGCATGTTATCACTTGGCACTGATCTCAAACTGGTTTATCGAAGGGTTGACCGTATATCCCCGCATGGGGCTTGATGCATGGTTGCAAACCAGACCCACCGCCTGGAAAGAAGCAAGCCAATTGATACGGGCCGTTTGCTGAGAGACAGCCAGAGATAGCCTGGTGATCTCGGCTGTGAGGACTTTCCTGTTAAGGGCTGTGAAGCTTTGCGCTTTCAATGTTTAGCTCCTGCATGTATCCTTTACCCTAGAACTTCCCCGCTCGCTAGGACCACTAACCTTATCTGCAGATAAGATGCGGAGACTCAGACTGATAAGCCATAACAAGGACTTGGCACACGCACCTTTTTCCTGTCCCCACGCTATCTAAACCATAAATCTGACTAACAGAGCGGACTTTTGTCCGCTCCTCCTGTAGCCGGAGGGCGAAGCCAACTTCCGATAGAAACGGAGGGAAGAATAGGTGGAACATGTTTTGAAAATGCACACCCAGAGCGGTATGTATATAACGGCTGGAAATTCCATCAATTAGCCCCAATGACAGCAGCCTTCATGATAAACCCGCGCTCTCCAGCTCTTGTTCTGACTAATTCCGTTCATTTGCGTTGATCTTGGACATACTTTAGGTGCAACCTACCGTCCCCAAGGCTACTAAGCTTTCTTGTCTGTCATGGAGTCGGTAAGGCTCAAAGACCGATATACCAAGCTCACATTATGCTGACGAATACCAGGCTGCTGAAACGTTCAGTCTTGTTGATGCCACTATCTCAGAGCTCGAGCATGCCTTGGGTGCAGGATGGATCACAAGCGTGGATCTCGTAGCTAGATATCTCCGGCGGATCAGTGTGTATGATGCAGGTGGCCTTAACTTGAGTGCTATTCCTATTATCAACCCCACTGCTTTCGATGAGGCCGCAGCTTCTGATGCCCGTCGAGCTGCTGGTCTTCCCGTGCGGCCCCTCGAAGGCATCCCTTACCTCGTCAAGGACAGTATCAAAGTCAAAGGTATGACAGTCGCCAGCGGTTCGCCCGCGTTCGAGAACCTGGTCGCTACGGAGGATGCTGCGTGCGTCCAGGCTCTGCGGGAGTCTGGTGCGGTTCTCTTGGGAAGAACTAATATGCCCGCGATGGCATATGGCGGCATGCAGCGAGGCTCGTACGGCCGCGCGGAGAGTCCATATAACCCGGAGTACTTGACCGCAGCATATGCGTCAGGCTCTTCTAACGGATCTGCAACAGCCACCACAGCAAACTTCTGTGCGTTTAGCTTAGGCTCTGAGACTGTATCCTCAGGCAGATCACCTGCTTCTAATAATTCCATTATTGCCTATACCCCATCAAAGGGCCTGTTGCCTCTCCGTGGGGTGTGGCCTCTGTATCCGACTTGTGACGTTTTGGTACCTCATACCCGCACCATGTCGGACCTCTTCAAGGTCCTCGATATTCTTGCTGTTGTCGACAAGACACCTTCAGGGGACTTCTGGAATGAGCAAAAGGCTGTTCCCTTACCCTCAGTGGAGACAATTCGGCCTACCTTGTTTGATGAACTAAAGGATGGCTCTGCCCTTCGTGGAAAACGGATCGGTGTGCCTTCCATGTACATCGGTGGCAAGGACCCTCTCCCGGATAAAGTATGCACGAGACCTTCTGTGCTCAAGCTTTGGGAGAGAACTAAAGGTGCTTTGGAAGCATGTGGCGCTACAGTTGTGGAGGTTGACTTCCCAATGGTAACCACTTACGAAGCTAGAGCAAGTCTAGGAGAGCTAGTGAGTGTCAAAGGCCTTCCAGAAGGTTGGCACTCAGTGGAAAGATGTCAGCTCGTGGCTCACTCCTGGGATGATTTTCTAGCCGCCAACGGCCAGCCTGGACTTGATTCCCTTGCCTGTGTAAACCCTGAGGCTATCTTCCCTCTAGCACCCGGTTCTCTTCGCGGAGCCCCTGATGCCGCAAACCAGCTTAGATGGCACGAGATGGTCGAATATCCGAAGAACAAGCCCGATTCGATCTTCAAGATTCCGAACCTAGACCAGGCTATTAAAGCCTTGGAAAACGCACGAAAGGAGACATTCGAGCAATGGATGGACAACCAGGGCCTTGATGTAGTGGTCTTTCCCGCTAATGGCGATGTTGGCCGCGCAAACGCAGATGTGGATCCTGAAGCTTCTCTGTACGCTTGGAAAAATGGCGTGAAGTACTCTAACGGGAACCGGGAGATCCGTCATCTTGGTATCCCCACCGTGTCTGTCCCGATGGGCGTGATGGAGGACACAAATATGCCAATCAATTTGACATTCACGGGAAAGGCATATGATGACACTAAGCTGCTGCGTTATGCGTACGCATTTGAGGAATCCACACACTATCGCCAAGTGCCGCTTCGTGTGCCAGGGTTGGACTCTGATATTGTTCATACGACTGGATCTCAACATTCCTCTGTCCAGGGTCAGATAGAACTACCTGAAGTCATCATTACAGATCAGTCTAAGTGCATCAAGAATTCCACTGTGTATCTTGAGGTCAAAGGAAGTCTGCAACTTAGCCGTGGCGCGCAATTGAAACAGTTGGTATGCTATATCAACGGTGAAATAACTGACCCCCAACTTGATGGCAACGGATGGAGTCTGACTGCGACACATCCTGTCTCGGCTCGTGATGGCACGTGGTCCCGATGGACAAGCCCTGCTTTGGTCCAGACAATTGTTGTGATCGTGGCTCATACGAATACTGGCCAAACGGCTGGTAAAATGCTATTACTATGATTTATCGTGTTCCCAACCTGTATATACCAAATAAAATATGTACATCATGCAGTCTACCTGGTTCACTATCTCATCAATTCTTTAAAGAGAGTATCCAAGGCAGTCATACCCTCTTTCTATTTGCTAGCATATATCAGAAATGAGAGGGTTTACCATATCTTCGATCATTGCCAGAACCTCTTTGTGCAAGTATTGTTTCTTTAGTTGTTTCAAGTAGGCCTCCAATTCATTAGGAGAACATGCACACCGCAGCCGCTCAGGAAGGTCTTCTGGTAGCCAAGAGGCAGAGTAAAGAAGGAAGTAAAATACTTTAGCGTAGGGAGCGGCATCCTGCCAACGGGCTGCGAAGTAGGTGAGGCTGTCTGCACAGGCGCATGCGGCATCAAACGCCTGTTGTATAAAATCGACCCCCAGACTTGCGGATCGACATACATAGAGAAGTAGAATCCCGGTCCGGAACTGAAACACAAGCTATGGCAGATACGTTAGTAAGAATTCTCTGAAGACGATACTTGCTAGCGTAGACGCACCGCAGACCATGTAAAGCACATCACTTGACCTTCTTCCTGCAGACGTCTATAATTAAGGCATACCTCAACTCCAGCCGAAAGAATATCATCAAGGTCTTCGCGCATGAGGTGTTTCCGCTTTCCTTGCATAAGAATAATAACACTGTAGTCATATAGTTTTGTCATCCATAGAGGATCGAGATAGGTTCTCTGCGCTTCTTCAACTGAGTATTGAGGTATATCTCTCCTCCAATCATCCAATGCCAGCTTGAACGATCTGTCATTCGAGTTTTGGATATCAGTTGGCTCATCCCAGGACCTTCGGATACTGGCTTGGATCTTTCGCAATCTAAACAAGTGTTGCAATGCTGTGCTTGTGTTTGAGACGTTCGATATCTCCTTGCTAAATATATGAATCTATAACTTTTCTATTAGTCAAGGGAAGATACGAAGTAGCTTAGTAGGAGCCCAGATATCCGTACATCGTCATCAACAATCCTGTAGGCCGCAGAAACCGGTCGTTCCCAGCCAGACACTATGATTTCATTCAACATATAACAAGTGATAAACATCGACTCATTAAGGCTGGCATCCCTTCCCATCGTGTCTCCCAGGGTGCTATCCAGACCAGAAGAAATGCGCTTCTGGATCTCAGCCAACGTAGCTGAACAGAAGGGGACGATGGAAGAAACTGATAGGGAGATTTCTCCTGAAGAAGGGCAATGAAGAGAATAGATAATCATGAGAATTGACGCTTGTATCTGAAGGATAGCGGGCGCTTCTACCATAACGTAAGGATAATACGACAATGCGGAGGAGTACATCTCTGCCGCGCGCTTTGAATGGTTCTGGCCGGGCTGGAGAACATTGTATGACAAGGAACCAATGGCATACACCATCTTCACAAAAAATCCTTTCCATGGTTCGGTCTTCTCATCTAGGCTCCAGTCATAACGCCAGGAACCCCAAGCATTGCAATCAAGTAATGGCCACATGAAGTGCGTGATTGAGAAGTACAGGTTGGTGTAGGCTTCTTCGAGCCAGAATGAATAACCGCCCATTATACCAAGATCATGCAGAGAACCAACCTTTGCTGGTGTGGAGTCATCCACATTCGTATCCATTGAGTCAAATCCATCGCTTGCTCTAGAGTTTGTAGAATCACCCAACAATGTGATGACGGAACGTGCATTCGAGCCCGGAGACTTTCGCTGCAAGTCGAAATCCGAAAGATCGCAATATGTCGGAGATGTATGAACATCGTTGTCCTTATCAGTATCAGGATCGCAATCAGGCATTGAATCGCAGGTAAGCAGATCAGTCGGCTCAGTTTGGACACCAAAGTCTCGTGTTTGCAGAGATCTTGTTGAGGTACGCGAGCCATGCTCTAATTCAGAGACTCTGGCCTCTAAGCATCTCAGGTATTCCAAAGGAACGGTTATGTTCTCTCCATTTTTGCAGGAGTTTGCTGGGAGACATTCTGCACCTCGTCGTCTGCATTCTCCACAGGTTGGTTTTGCATGATCACATTTGCGCTTCAATCGAAAGCACCGAGCACAGGCGAGGAGCCTGGAATGGTTTGTAGTCCGCGGCATAAGTCATCGAAAGATTTGTGAGAAAATGGCTGGCCTGGACAGGGTGAGTGAATGAGAGAGAGTGCTTAAATTGATAGCAAAGAAAGATAAGACCAAGAGCGGCTCCCCCACTTTATTTACTCCGCATTATGTGGGGATTTTGATATTGTGCCAACCATGTTCTTCGATCGAGCTGCATCATATGCAACCTTAATGATTACACTGCTCTTTTCTATTTTGTAAGCGTGAGTGAACGTTTGCAGGTAAGAATGGGTGTTTTTCAGTTGAATAGTGCGTCCTAGAAAACGCGATGTCTCTGAACCCCTTGGGGCTGCGCAAGAAGGACAACAGCTACACATGGTCAAGGACAGAATAAAAATAACGAAGATCACGCACAGCCATCCCATAGCTGACAGTCAGAGCAGTGTATACAGGGTCATAGACTATTCCTTAATCCATCTCTGATGGGCTTTGTCATATCCGATGACCTTAAGGTCAATATTCAACGTCTTCAACATAAAGTCCATGGTGAATTCCTGTTAGTTGAGATTAGCACCCTTGTAGCCGTAGGAAAACCCACTTCAAAATAAAAACCAACCTCATCTTCAATCTCTTTTCTTTCCCGCTCCGCATCGTGACCCTCCTTGCGGCCCTTTAGCATCTCAGCCTTCCGAGCCTCCAGCTCCTCTTCATCTACATCAACCCCTTCCGCCTCTGCGCTGCCGTACCAGGTTTCCATCTCCTCTTGCTCCCACTGCGCATTGTTATTCTTTATTCGCTCCCTCCAGGCCTTCATACCCCCCATCCGCGCCACACGTTCCTGGGCCCCAGAGAAAACTTCTTCGGCTGCATTCTGACTGACTGACCTCCACTTCGTAATCAGCGACTGGAGGTCTGCATCTTTGGTCGAGGACTCGAGCTGAAGAGCTTGTTGCGCAGTATCAAGCTCAGATCGCAGGATAGCAAGTCGTGACTGCAGTGCCCTTTCTTGCTTCTGAAGATCAAGAATGACCGGGTCAGAGAATATCGGTTTCTTAGATGAAGCTAGATGGTTTATCTGAGCATTTCTTTTGCGAGACGCCAAGCTCGAGGGAGGAGTAGGTGCTGTGTGAGTTGAAGGACGAGCAGACAACGGGGAAGATGAGCTCACAGCTGGAGTGTGCGCGTCATTGCTGTCAGTGTTATTGTGCTTGAGAGACGGGCTCGGAGGAACATTTTTTTCTTCTTTGGATAATGCCTTGTGTTTGGGCTCCGAGACTTGAGGTGGTCGGCGAAGGGGAGACTTGAAAGGTTTGGAAAGCGCCGAAGCTGCACTTTCAACGCGACGGCGCTTTCTATTGAGGTTGACGGAAGACATTTTTCGAATGTCTAGCAATACTTAAAGTGATTACATTGTATTGAAGTGTTCGTGGGCATTCAGAGAAACGGCCTTCATGCAAGTTTGAGAGAAGATGGAGTGACCCACCTAAAAGGCCATGTGCCAAGGACGTGCAGGTCCACTTGTGTCCATTGTCGCCAGTATTGATTTATTCTATTGAACCCTCTTGCAGCTACTAGTTAACCAAGTTCTAGACATCTTGGTAAATATCATTCTAGACTATACAAAACTGCTAATTAATCTGTGCTGTGATCAGCTGAAATGCGTAGTGTAGTAATTTTATCTATGAAGAGCTTCCTCTACTCTTAGCAAAATCTTCCATTGATCATAAAATACACCATATACAGACTATGAGGGCTCTTCATCAATGCCCAACACCGCCCGCCACCCATTGAGCGAACTCTGGGTCTCCAGGGCGAGGGAAAAAGCCCCTGTCATCATTTCCATTTCCCGGGGCTGCTGGGTTGGCGCCTACATTCCCATCTTGTCTCTGTCGGTTCCGTTGCTGTCTCATGTATACAAGCACTAGTAAAGTCGCAGCTAAGGCAACAATGATAAGGCCCTCTAAAACGCTTTCATCGATATCGAGCTCCAGATCATCGTAGTAGCCATCTTCATGACGGTCATCGATATGGTGTCGATCCGAACCACCTGATAGCAGGTCATCTTCTTCCTCGGCTCGCTTGAACATCTGTGCACGATAGGCTTCCTCCTCTTCGTCGTTCTCAATGAACGCTGCAATCCATTCTTTTAATGTCCGCCGGGGCCTTGACTCTGAGCACGGGGTCAGCAAAAACGCATCACTAGAGTTGACTGTGGCATTCCTACCTTCTTCATCTTGGATGGAGTTGATCTTGCCGTTGGTAATTCTGTTCCAGTAGCTCCGTAAACGAAGCTTCAGTAAGCTCAATTTTACGGGTAGATAGGCCTCGGTACTTGTCTCAAGTGCCAAATCATAGTATCGTTTGGCCATGTGAAAATCTTGTTCCACGGCGATGCCATTCTCATGCATCCAGCCAAGATTCCAATAAGCCTGTGCACTATAATGGACTTCGGCGGCACTATGATAACAAGTGGAGGCTTTTTCAGCATCTGCAGCAATACCAATACCGCCCAGGTAATAGTCACCCATCTTAACTAAGGAATCAATGTTTGTCTGTTTGGCGGAACGAGTCCAATAGATAAGGGCTAACGCGGCATTCCGAAGCAGAGACGGTCGAGGTTTCTTAGCACCCGGTAGGATGCGATCAAAGGACATCAAAGAACGTTGCTCATCGAGCAAGTACGCCACGTTAGATTGCGCGTGCTCATAACCTTGCTCTGCGGCCATCATGGCTGCAACGAGAGCCCTTTCTTTGTCACTATTCTCGTACGCAGCGTTCGCCTCATCGAATGATGAATGTATCACTTCGGCTCGTTCTGCGACCATCTTATAGTATGACGCAGCCATTCCACAATGACGTTCCCTACCAACACCATTGTTGGACAATTCTGCCAGGTAATAGAAGGCCTCCATCCAGCCCCAGCGGGCTGCTAGCTCAAAATATCGGGTAGCCGTTGGGACATCTCCTTGGTCCAAGAACAAAGCACCCAGTCTTGTTTCTGCAGCGGGGAAATCTTGTTCAGATGCGGACTTGAAATACGATGCAGCCCTGAAAGCGTCCTGCTGCACGCCATATCCATGGAGATACATGAGTCCCATTTGATGTTGACAGAGCGAATCCCCATTTGTCACTCCACGCCTAAACCAAGTGAGGGCAGTGGCAAAGTTTTGCTCTACACCTTCACCACGGAGGTACATCAACCCTATGTGGCCCGCTGCTTTCGATGCTAGTTTCTCGATTCCAAGCGGATGGTTCGGGTTCATAGACCCGTCCTTATTCCAGTAGCGCTTTGTGATCTGTTTGAAATACTTCATGGCCTTTCGAAGGTTCCTGGGCAGACCTCGCGAGCCTTCGTAGTGCATCTTTCCCAAGCTGAAGGTAGCCTTCAGTTCGCCCTTTCGCGACATAAGGTCCAGATACTCTAGGACATCTTCCAAGCTGGCTTCAGTGCTTGAATGTGCTGCATCACGCAAGGCGTTTGGTCCCGAGCTGGAGACACTGGCACCTTCGCCATATACGCCGCCCTCCTCGTCAGCCCAACGGTATGATTCCCGAATCATACTATGGCCCCCAGGTGGTCCCGATCGGTAGTACTGAATAGCCTTGTCTGCAACTTTCTTATAGTAATAGGTTGCATGGTCGCAATTTCTGGGCATTCCAATTCCAGCATGATTTCGATACGCGAGCGTCATCTCCGACCTCGTGTCTCCCCCCTCCGCGGCGAAAGTATGGTATAATAGTGCCTTCGCCTGGTCTCGCTCAACTCCACCGCCAATACCTGTCGCATACATAAAGCCCACCATATACTGTGCCGTACTGTTCCCAGTCGCCGAAGCAAGGCTCTGATACCACTGGAACGCTTGCTTGAAGTCTCGTGGATGTGTGTAGTTGCCGTAGAAATTCAACTCCGCTAACAGGAACATTGCATCGGGGTTCTGATCTTTTTGCGCAGCGATCTTGAGTTCATCCACGGCCTTTGCGACATTTGGGTGGATCTTCTGCCGCTCGGCATTATCTGACGGCGGGCCATTCAGGAACAGAACGCGGAAAGCCTCTTTAGAGTAATGTAATGTGTTCCCCAAGAAACCGGACGGTTTCTCGGGCGTGATGATTGGGATCTTTGAGTTACGGAGAATTCTGAGGGCGGTATCGACGTGTTCTAGAGATGCCGTTATAATCTTAGCTTAGAGCGATGACAGTTTGGGCCGAATGGGATACTCACGGCTTCCAGGCCTAGCATCAGAGCCCTCTGTCCCACCTGGAGACTGGTTTGGATGCTGATATGATTCGTGAGAGACATCAGTGGACGCCTTGGATTCCACTGCAAGCACCTGCAGTAGCACTATACCATAATCAAGAGATGTCAGCTTCAATCAAATGTTGAGCTCCGCACCCAACACTCACGAAATGCCACAGGCAAGAAACGCCATAACCATAGGTTTTTCATGTTGTCAGCGAGGAATCTTTAATACTGATCAGTGAGAAGAACATGGCGAACTGGCCCCAATTAGAAGAGCATCGCCAGATCCAGACGGATAAGATTAGGGAAGTACTAGTAGTTATGCATTGCATGCTTCCTTAGAGCTCCAAGGCGGAACGGGCCACCTGTCCACGCGGAGGTTCATTTCGCCGACACTACAAAACCAAGAATTAGTCCTAGAGATTGATAAGGATCAACACTACCGACTTTCTTCTGGAAAGAGATCTCATAATAGCTGCTCTTTTTATTTTTTCTTAATGCTTTTTTTTATATAATTTTTCTTTGCATCCATAACCCCATTCGCACTAAAGCTGTGTACAGGAGAAAGAGAAAGATTTGTGACCGCATCATTAATACACTCCGTAGCAAAATCATATTCTTCCATGCAAACCAGAGGAAACAGCAACATGCAAAAGGATCAAATCACCTCTAGAGTGATGAACCTCGTAGGCCGGGGCAATTCTAAAAGACGCTTGGTAATTTCAGGGCTCAGAAAGAAAAGGAAACAAACATGGCCAACCCACAAACCTCGTTCGCAATTTAAGCGGGCTGGCTCCGAGGCTATTGAATAAGGAATAAACCCATTGGGCCGAAGCATGAAAGAAAACATACATGCAGGAAGGCAAAAGAAAAACGAGGCTACAGGCGCCCAAATTGTGGAAAAAATAACCAACCAATTCCGCAACTTAGAATGCAAAATGTTTTGTTTTTCGTGGGCTGTTCGATGAAGTGATAATACAATGATACAGAGAAGATACGCATTAAAGCAAACTTCACTGGCGAGGGGACCTTCGAGAAGAGTCAGTAAAGGCGAAGCCGATGATGCATGGAAAACAAGACTTACGAAGGGCTGAACGCCGGCGACGTCGGACTATAACCAGGGGAGGTAGGTCCTCCGGGTGAGGTCGGCGAGCCGGCAAAATTAGGGGAGGTAGGAGAGTATGTCTGGGGACTCGTAGGAGACCACCCAGGAGATGTGGGTGTATACTTTGGAGATGTTGGCGAAGTAGGAGACAGGTGCCGAGCGGCACCACCAATAGCGGGGCTGGTTGGGCTGTAGCTTGGCGACGTTGGGCTAAATGCAGGCGAAGCTGGGCTAAAGCTTGGCGATGTAGGACTGTAATTTGGCGAGGTCGGCGAAAACCCGGGCGAGGTAGGAGAGTACGACGGTGAGGTCGGCGACGCCTGGCCATACGCCGGTGAAGTTGGCGAGTAAGCAGGTGATGTCGGTGCGAATGACGGGCTGGCAGGAGAGAAACCCGGAGACGTCATGGAGAAACGAGGGCTGGTAATTGCCATACCAGGAGAGGTTGGTGAGTAGCTCGATGACGGGGAATAGCCAGGAGATGTTGGATTAGCACTGAATGGGCTGCTGGGAGAATAGCCGGCTGGACTCGTGGCCGCTGGGCTGAACCCGCCTCCAAAGCCACCGGTCGGCTGATACTCAGTAAAGCCACCAGGGGATTCAGCACCAGCTTGGCGGATGGGAGAGAAGTTTGATTCGGGATCAGGTGTACCGATGTAAGCGTTATCCTGCATGGGTGAACCAGTGTCATACTGAGTGGCAGCACCGTCAGAGATGATCGCATCCTTAGCGCCGATAGCTCCCATCACGCCAAAGCGAGCATTGTTCGAAACGACAGTGTTGAGCATGTTCTGGTCGAGATAAATGTCGAACTCTCCAGTACCGGCAGGTGCCATCTGTCCCAGAATCAAGTTCTCAGACACACCACGGCAGTCATCCAATTCTCCAAAGGCTGCGGCCTCCAACAAGATCTCCACCGTCTCTTCGAAAGAACAACGCATAAGAGCACCGTTGTCAGCACGGTTAATACCATGCCGCGTGACTGGCGTTAGGTAACCACGGACAGTCATGACATCGACCAGGAGGGCCAAATGACGGTGATTGACGTAAGAACCATCGAAGGCAAGCACTTGTGTCAATTCGCGAAGAACAGCTGTGCGGGCGGCTTCGATACCAAAGACTTCGAACACCTCGATAAACTGGTTGGAGTATGTGCGGCTAGCATCAACTCCAGGAACCGCCAAAACCTCGCCCAGGGCAGAGCCGCTTGTTTCAAGAACCCATTCCTTGCAAAGGGGATCGACCTTGCTGGTGAACAATGACCCGTCCTCAAGGACTCGGACTTTACTCTTCTCGTTGATGAACGCTCGCTCGACACCGTTGACACCGCGAAGTGTTAAGGTGTCCAGAAGATGTTGCTCAAGTTTCTTGAGTGTGACGTCGTATTCAATGTCATCATCGTCTTCATCCTCCTTATGGTCCTGGATCTGTCGGATTCGAATAACCTGCTCATCGGCGTTGTTGTCGCTAAAGATAACGGCGATATCCTTGGGATACGCCTGTTTAATTCTGGTAGCAACATCCTGCACTGTAAGACCCTTGTCAAGAAGCTTCGGCCGACTGAGAATGATACGAAGCAGCCATTTGGACTGGCGAGATGAATCGTCTGTCACATCTTCGGGAATAATGAAGTAGGATTCAACCATGTCTCGGTCGTTTTCAATGACCGTAGACTGGATATCGGGGTCGTAGTAAATCTCGGTGGCCTCCGTAACAGACCGCAAGCTAGTATGCTCAACAACGCTTCGCAATTGCTTGGCACCCTCCTTGTCATGAGTCCGACCGGGCTCCTGGTAAACAGTCATAGAAGGCGTCTTGATATTGGTTGCAACGTTAAGAATTTCCTTCAGACGAGGGACACCAAGTGTAACGTTCTTTGACGAGACACCAGCAAAATGGAAAGTGTTCAGAGTCATCTGTGTAGCTGGCTCTCCAATAGACTGGGCAGCGAGAACGCCAACCATTTCACCAGCAGGAGCATTAGCTTTAGCGAACCTCATTTCGATAGCTCCAATAACATGCTGGAACGCGAGTTTATTCATGGAGTACTCGGTGACCAGTCTTCGGAACGCTAACCGACTCCGAAGTTGCGCCTTGAACAGCAGTGTGGCATTCTCTTGGGCTTCCTGCGAAATAACGTCATCACCGCGCACGATAAGCAGCCGATCAAGCAATGCTTGCACCTGAGGAATAACTTCTGCTGGGTGCAGATCGCTGATTGTTCCCTCGCGGATCCTAAACGTAGTCCTGGCCATCTCGAGAATTCGCTGGACGTTGATCGGAAGCTGCATCATCTCCTCGTCTTCCTTAGCCACAGTACGGAGGAAAGCGCGGTCTTTGAGAAGTTCCTCCCACTCTTCATCCAGATATCTCTGGACTTCGACGTCGCCTGCAATCTCATTGGCCTGTTCCAAGACCTCTGGACCTAAGCTGCGCTCAGGGTCCATAAGATCGACACGGAAACGGTCTCTAAACTTGTCGTCAGAGCATTTGATGATATCAACTCGTTGGTTCTCTATATGAGCACCGTCAAGGCCATCTTCTCCGTAGATAAACTGTATAATATCTCCCAGAGAGTTACGGACAGTACCATCGTACTTGACCATTACTTCTTCCAAGGCCTTAACCAGCTTTCGCTGAATATAGCCAGTTTCTGCGGTCTTGACAGCTGTATCAATAAGACCCTCACGACCAGCCATGGCGTGGAAGAAAAACTCAGTGGGTGTCAACCCACGCAAGTAGGAGTTCTCCACAAAACCACGGGATTCTGGAGAATAATCATCCTTTGTGAAATGAGGCAAAGTACGATACTTGAAACCGAACGGGATACGTTTACCCTCGACGGATTGTTGACCCACAACAGCAGTCATCTGCGAAATGTTGATGGTTGATCCCTTTGATCCAGAACGAGCCATCTGGATGGCATTGTTCAGATCCTTTAAGCTCTTCTCGGTTTCACTACCAGCTTCGTCACGAGCATTGTTAAGCGCACGCGAAACCTTACTTTCAAAGGTTTCTCGCACGTTCATACCAGGCAACGGCTCCAGGGTATTGTCCGTAGCACTTGCAGTAATAGTTTCAACCTCCTTCTTTCGTTCCCGGACGCAGTTCTCAATTCTTTGTATAGTGACTGCGTCTGGAATGGTGTCACCAATACCAATACTGAAACCATTGTGGAGCAACCAGTAGTTAACAATAGCCTGTGCGCCGTTGAAGAAGGCCACAGCAGTTCCTGGCCCATATTCATTGAAAATGGTGTGGATGACACCACCACCACTGGCACCGACAGTCTTCTTGGAAAACATTCCATACATCAACTGTCCACCATGGATGAGAAGACCACCATCATTCAGAGGGGCAAACTTCTCAGAGAGCGCTGAATTGTCCTTATCCACACGGAGAAGATTGAGCCCTGAAGGAAGCGCCATGCTAATAATTTGCTTACCAGTCCATCTGGGCCTAGGTTTCAAAATTGCTGGCGGGGGAATAACGCCGTCCCAATCAGGAACCCACATCATAAGATTCATTACTTGCTCCTTTGTCAAGAATGTATCACGCCGACAAATCTTGTAGATACCGCAGAGAGTATCCTGTACGATACCCATGAGAGGTCCGTTTCGCTGGGGGGATACAATGTTCATAGGAACCAGAGCAAGCTGGAGTAGTTCTGCGCGAGACTCTTCACTTTGAGGAACATGCAAGTTCATCTCATCGCCGTCAAAATCGGCGTTGTAAGGAGTTGTCACAGACAAGTTGAGCCTGAATGTGGAGTACGGCATAACGCGGACGCGGTGACCCATCATAGATTCCTTGTGAAGTGAGGGCTGTCGATTGAAAAGAATCACATCACCATCCATGACATGACGCTCTACCTTCCATCCGTAGAGTAGTTGTTGGCCTCCAGCTCGTTTAGCATGGCGTAAATCAATACGTTCACCGTTATCTCTCACAATATACCTTGCTCCAGGGTGCTCGTTAGGACCATTCGAGACGAGCTGCTGCAATTTATCGATGTTGTACGGCGTGACAACTTCCGGGTATGTCAAAGTCCTTGCGATACTTTTTGGCACACCAACCTCGTCAAGGGACAGGTTGGGATCAC